GCCAGTGTGAACAGCCCCGGCTCCCTCAGCCTGTCCTCGTAGGAGAGGTGCTCCAGCCCTCGGATCATCTTCGTGGCCTCCTCTGGCCCCGCTCCAACATATCCATGCCCTCCTTCTGTTGGGGGCTCCAGAGCTGGACGCAGGACTCCCGCTGGGGTCTCACGAGAGCAGAGTAAAGGGGGATATAAAGTCCTGTAGAAAAACAAACAGCTTATGAAGCTGGTCGTTCAGGTAAGGAGCTGGTCAGGAATCGTCGGGCCGAGATGTCAGTGCCAGCAGTGCGATGGAGCTGGGGGCAGGCAGCAGCTCAGCGGCACCGAGGGTCTGTTCCAGGGATCTGCAGACACAGAGCCCTCCTCTCCTCACTGATGCTGCGTGGACACCACAGACTCTCCGGATGCTGGCTCGGAGGCGGTGAGCACACACACGCACCCTGACAGCTTCTGAAACTGTTGTCCCAAGAGCCTGGGGTTCATTTACCCGGTGTGCAGTACGCCAGTACACACGCCGAGCAGAGGTGTTTTATTGCGTATTTGCGCAAATATGGGTGTCTGTCCCGAGACAGCACGCCTCGCTCACAAATCGGCAGCCATTTAGACACTTCACATTACCACATTCAACTTCCGAATACATATTCATCGTTACTCAATTAAGTAATTGGTTAAAGTCTCGTCGTCCAGCATGTAAATCAGTACACGTGCTCCGTTTCTTCATCTTTTGGGTCTGGGGTGTAATTGGGGTAGGTGGTCCGCGAGTTGGTGGTTGCGATCTCCCCCTGCCGAAATTCCCTTTCTCCTCGTTACCTGTTTCTGTTGGCAACCTCAGCAGCTTTTCACGGCTCGTTAGCTGTCCTTACGAGTCATCACTCTCTGGTTCTGCTTGGGACAGGCACAGCCTTCTGATGAAACAATAACACATTATTCAAAATCCTTTTTCTTAATTTCTATAGTTAATTATAAATTTCATGAGGGCAGGGCTTTAGGAAAGCACCTACAGCAGCGACAGTCTGGTTAGTTTCAATTACCATTTCGCATTTCGAGTCCCCTTTTTATTCCTCAGTAGAACAAAATCACAGCTGGCTCTCACGCGCCGTAGCGCCACTCTGCACTTTTCAGCTGTAACGCGTCCCCGCAGAGCCCTCCAGCGCACAGCCAAAGCTGCCCAGGGAAGCCAACTCCCCCAGAGGCTGCCCATAAAATGGAGGGTGGCGCTTCCGAGCACGGAGTCTGCTGGAAGGAAAACACAGGGCAGAGCAGATGCCCCCAGCACGCCGTAGCGCCACTCTGCACTTTTCAGCTGTAACGCGTCCCCGCAGAGCCCTCCAGCGCACAGCCAAAGCTGCCCAGGGAAGCCAACTCCCCCAGAGGCTGCCCATAAAATGGAGGGTGGCGCTTCCGAGCACGGAGTCTGCTGGAAGGAAAACACAGGGCAGAGCGGATGCCCCCACCAGCTCTGACCCCAGCCGACGTCAGCCCAAAAAACTTGGTTTTTTACTTCTCAGCCCAAAAAACTTGGCTTTTTTAACTTCCTCCACCAGAGCCCGAGCCGTGGGGCTCAGACACCCGCGGTCAGCCCCCCCGCCGCCCCATCCTCAGGAGCCACCAGCCCCGGGGCGAGGAGAGCAGGGAGATGGGGAGTTCCTGGGCGAGAGGCCCCTCGGCCCCGCTCCCCCCAGCGCCCGGGAGGGCGGCACTG